GAAGGGCGCTGTGTGGGATAACAAGGGAGAGTGAGGTGAAGAGAGAGACGTACCTGGTGGAGAGGAGGTCGGCATTGGTGTTGACGTCATCACTCGCTGGTCGTCAAGTTGTCTGGTTGCTTCCATGCTGTAGTTGTAGTGTTAGGCTGTAGAGTAGATAGGGCGCCTGGCGCCTTTCAAGAGAGAGAGCTACATTGGGTTATGCTGTTGGTGTTGCCCGATTGGGCTTGGACATTGACTCACGATTCTGCTGTATCATTCTCAAATGGATGGTTACTTGGTTCCATTGTGCTATCTGCTCTTGCTTTGACTACTTGGACTTCAGTGTGATTTTGCAATTTCGATTTCTGTGCTTCGTCCATATTCATGTTCCTTGCATTTTGGTATCAGAGCTGGTTCGATTCGCCGCTTACCTTGGTGCGCTGGCGTTATATAGACTTGGTGCGTTGACGATGCTTCTTTGCAGTTGGTTCTTGTGACGTCAGGCCAACATTAGGCGCACGACCTGGGTAGAGAGGTGTGCGTCGGAAGGCTGTACGGCTTGGGATGCCGTGGTGACAGCGGAATGTATGCTTGGTGATGAGAGCATACTGACGTAGCATTTGGCTGAGGTGGCACTACATTGCATTGTGGGTGGTACCGAGGCTACGACCGGTCATCAAATGCACACTCAACTCAATTGGTGAGAAATTTGTGGTTGGGGGCAGCTATCTCCAGATACGTTGTTCCCTTACCTTATCTACTCTCTCAATCTCTTCTTACCGCGAGGAAGTGAGTCCAACTTGAGAGTCCTCTCTTTTGGTGAAAAATCGTCTGGGCTCTACCTTGAGAGACGACAATCTTCCCGGTGAAGCATCTGGAAGGAGAAAGGGCGGTGCCTCTGAAGGGCCCTGGTCGAAGCACATGGGTCACGGTCACCATGCCAACCCAATGGGATTAGTACACGCATGCGATGGCTTCTTTGTCCATGAGGGCACTTTGCTGCGTTGATAGAGGGGTGTGCGGACTGAACAGGCTTATGCAGACGCTCCCAGACCGTCTATAAACATTTTTGGATGCGGTTCCGATCTGATACTGGCTGTGATCGTCGTCCTGATTGCGACGTTAAATAATTCCTGAGCGAACTTGGGGGCAGTCCTTAAATAGGCCTCTTGATCAGCCAGATCATTCGGACGTACGGCTCGTTACACGCGAGGATAAAGAATGGGCAAGCCTGGTCATAAGCATGCACCTGGGGCACAGGGGTGGGCCGACATTGCACACCTATGACACTGCCGCTCAAAGATGCTCATCGGTATGTTGGATTGAGGGGAGGGTAGGTTCCAATTTGCTGCTCAACTGTAAACATAACCATATCCACTGTTCATACATCTGCAACATAGTCTGGTTTTATTATTGATTAGTTGGTTGACAGACTGCTAACACCTCACAGACAGTTTAGTTTAGGACTGTTGTATACTACCATAGCCAGTGTTATGCAAAACTTCTGTAAGTGAACTAATCATGATAGAACTAAACTATGTTTACGGTCTTTTGTGAATGTTGTAGGCTGCCACTTGATCGGTTGAGTAGGGGACCTGCCGAACACATTTATTTTTAGAAAATTAGGTGTCGGTGTCGGGCGGCTCCAATACTACGCCGCCCTTTACTTCCTTCCCGAGGACACACAACGAGACCCTCACTCGCCGATATTCTACCTGGCCAGGGTTCACCGACCGTGAGGCAGACCAACACTACGACCGACTGGCTTACCGACGTTTACCGACCATGCGGCGAGACGACACTCCGAAGAATGGGACGGTGACATCATTGCTTGACATTATTTTGCCTGGCCGGGACTCACCGACCATGAGGCGGGCCAACGCTGCGATCGAGGAGGCCACTTTACCTGGACGGGACTCACCGACCGTGACGCGAGCCAGCCCTATGGGCAAGGGGGCCGCTGGGCAGTTTGAATTTTCTTCCGAAGGGGCGGTCCCGCTAGAGCGCGGGGTCCGCCTAGGCCAGAATGAGAGTCGGGGCCACCCTTCGCTTAGAGGGCCAGGCCGATTTCCCCCTTTAGGGGCGGTACCACTACAACGTGAGGGACGCCTAGGCCCGGGCAGGCCTGATCCAGGCTCGGGACTAGCCATGGTACCAGGCCGCTGCAGAGGGCCCAGTTCCCTACGGGAAGGCCCTCTCCGTCGGTAGCTTTTCGAAGGCCCAAGCAGGCTCGGGCACAGGCCCGGTACCGGGGCGGTGCAAGTCGTTGGTGGCCTCGGTGCACACATGAGTCGAGGCTCATGCTTCGGAGGGGGACTGGCCGAGTACTTGAGCCGAACCGGGCCCAGGGCTGGGACACTTCTCACATGCAGGGTCAGGCGCACGAGAGCGGAGGTGCACGGCACAGGCACAAGGGAGACTGGCGTACGAGGAGACGGGAGGCGCGAGCTATCGGGGCAGAACGGAAGATGCACGGACAGGCGCACGGGGAGCCAGGCGCACAGGAAGGGAGACGTGCGGGACGTCTACATGCACGAGACTGAGCACGTACGGATCCGCCACGTACGGATCAGGCGCGTGCGGACCAGGTGCTGACGAACGGGGATACAGACGTACGGGGGGGACGGGCGCACGGACTGAGACACGCATGGGAGAGCGAGCGCACGGTCTGAGACGCGCACGGGAAAGCGGACGTACGAACGGAGACACTCACACACAGTGGGGGCACCGGGGAAGCCGCGCGTGACAGCCTGCACCTGCGCACGAAGGGGAGAGAACCGCGCGGGAGGTTGTGCGTGCCAGAGCGCACCAGCGCGCATTCGCGGGAGAGAGGGGAGCGTCGCGGGGCACTCGCGCGTACTTGCGCGCATCCGGGTGAGAGAGAGGAGTGTCGCGGGGTTCTCGCGCGCATCCGCGCACGCTCGCGCAGGAGAAGAGAGTGCCGCGACACTCGCGTGTGCTTGCGCGCGTCCGAGTGAGAGAGGAGAGAGTCGTGGGGCACTCGCGCGCACCTGCGCGAGCTCAGATTGGAAGGGAGAGAGACGCAGGACAGCGCTCGCACTACCTCACGCTCGCACACGAGGGGGAGCATGACCTATCAGGGTAGGGGAGGACACTTGTGTACACACATACCTGCAGGGCCGGATGAACACCGGACGTCATCATACGCACTCCTACGGGATAGCGGTGATGGACAGGGGGAGACGCGCACGATTTGAGAGCCCGTTCATCGGAGGATACGGGCAAGGAAGGGAGCGCACCTTTGGACGTATTTGAGTCACGGGCGGTCAGGTCGAACCGGCTGCTCGTACGCAGATTGGGATGATCGACCGAACTGAGCCTTAGGGGCGCCGATTGGGACATCGGACTGAGTCCGGGCCATGAAGGGGCGCTTTCCGAGCCAGGCCCGACGAAGGGGGCATTTCTTAGAAGAGGCTTTTTATCGGGGGCATTTCACCGAGGAGGCTTTTTACCGGGGACATTTCATCGAGGAGGCTTTTTTCCGGGGACACTTCGCCTAAGGGGCCTTTTACCGGGGGCACTTCACCGAAGAGACACTTACCGAAGGGGTATTCTACCGAAGGGGCACTTACCGGAGAGGTACTTTATCGAAGGGGCATTTTACCGAAGAGGCACTTATCGGAGGGGTATTCTACCGGAGGGGCACTTACCGGAGAGGTACTTTATCGAAGGGGCATTTTACCGAAGAGGCGCATTACCGAAGGGGTACTTTGCCCAAGGACACTTTACCGAGCGGACACTTGTACCGACCGGACACTTTACCGAGCGGACACTTGTACCGACCGGACAGTTTACCGAGCGAAACTTGTACCGACCGGACACTTTAACGAGCGGACACTTATACCGACCGGACACTTTACCGAGCGGACGCTTGTACCGAGCGAACACTTTACCAAGCGGACTTTTTACCGAGCGGACACTTTACCGAGCGGACACTTTGTCGGGCGGACGCTTTACCGGGCGGACACTTTTTACGGAGCGGACACTTTACCGAGCGGGCATTTTACCGAGCGGATACTTTACCGAAGGGACACTATTCCGAAGAGGTACGACTGAAGGGGGCTTCTCGAACCGGTACTTTTCGTGAAGCGGGCTCTCCGAAGAGGCACGTCCGAACCGAGCTTTTCCGAAGAGGTACGTCCGAACCGAGCTTTTCTGAAGAGGTATGTCCGAACCGAGCTTTTCTGAAGAGGTACGTCCGAAACGAGCCTTTCCCGAGAGGTACATCCGAACTGAGCCTTTCCGAAGAGGCACATCTGAACTGAGCCTTTCCGAAGAGGCACATCGGAACCGAGCCTTTCCGAAGAGATTCGCGTGAATTTGGCCTTCCGGAGTGACATACTCCTGAAGGGGGTGACCGTACTGAGGCATGGTCTCAGTAGATCTGGAGCTCTGGCCCCGATGACCGAGGGAGGCTACATCTGACACCGAGAGTTCGAGTACGGTTCCTTGGGATCGACGGGCGCGTTACAGGCGCCACCCGATCGGGAGGAGGATAAGGCGACGTCTGTTGACTAGATCTGTGGGGACTCAGACGGACTTCTCAGACATAGGGGCGAGATGCACGGCAGAGGTCAGGACTAGTGTTTCACATCCCATCGTTTTGGACTCAATGGAACTACTTTTACTGTTTCCAGACAGTGTTCCATGAGCTTCGTCTTGCATTGGTCTCGGGCTGCTACGGTCCTTGTTTTCGTGGGTGTGGACTGACGTGTTTTGTGCAGGTTATAGGAGCCCCGATCGACCCTCCCGCGGGTTACAGACGCGGCGCGAGGCATAGGGTTCGGACGGCGTGTTGGCAGACCCTTTCTACCAGTTGACAGTGGCGCCGTTGCCGGGGAAGGCTGCCTCTCGGGACTTGGGTCCGCCTGTAACCGTGCGGATGTGAGAGGACCAGGACAGGGATATGACTGGAATAGGGCAGACGAGAGGAGGCTAGTCAATTGGCCAAGTGATCGGAGTGCGCAAGTGAGACGTTGGACAGTACGAGCACGAGCGGGCAGACGACACCCCCATCGACTCATGATCGTTAGTGACAGAGATGTCCGCTTCACAAGTGAGTTGTGGAAGAAGACTGCTGAGCAGATGGGCAGTCAACTTCAGATGACTTCAGGGAATCATCCCGAAGCCAACGGACAGGCCGAGCAGATGAACAGAGTTGTACAACACCTGCTGAGGCATTACATCAAGCCCAGCCAGGATGACTGGGATGAGAGGTTGCCTCTCATCGCCTGCCTGTACAACAACGTTGTACACAACAGTACCGGTGTTAGTACTAATCAGCTACACTTGGGATGGAAGCCTAGATCAGCTCTGGACTTCCTCCTACCTGAAAGTCGACCCTCTGCAACTCCAGGCACACTTGACTATCGTGTGCAGTATAAGAAGTTGCTAGAGCAAGCTGTCGAGCACATCAGGAAAGCTCAGCAACCAATGATTGCTTCGGAGAACAGACATCGTCGACAGTCCTCATTTCAGGTAGGGGAACGTGTCTGGGTCAAGGCTAGTGAGCTAGGACAGAAATTTGGTATCTCTCGAAAACTAATGCCTCGGTATTTTGGTCCCTGGGAAGTCCTAGACATAGTTGGGGATGAGATGGATGGTCCTACCTATGTTATTCGCATCCCTAGTCACTTACGCACTCACCCTGTCTTTCATGCCTCAAAGCTTGCACCTTTCGCTGAGACAGATCAATTCCCTTCAAGGAGATCGATGCTGCCCCCAACCATGAATGGCCAAGTGGACATCGACGACATTGTGGATCACAGAGACATGCCTGTTCCAAAGCCACTGGGTAGAGGAAGACCTCCCAAACCCAAGAGAGAATATCGCGTCAGATTCAAGCATCATACGGATCCAAAAGAAGATCGGTGGTTCACCAGAGAGGACCTGATTGACACAGCTCCTCAAGTGGTGGCAGAATATGAGAGGATGTTAAAAGGGAAGGCACCTGCGAAGTAAGCATCTCAGCAGACTTTTGAAGCTAAGGGGGATGGAATGCGAGGATTGAGCCCTCAAAGGGGGCCTTGCCGACATACATATGTTCTGGGCTTAGGCCCCCAGCAAGCCTCGTGCCCGCCCTAAGTGAAGGCGGGCCAGAATATCCACAAGAGACCTTCATTCAGCATTTCACGAAGTGGGTATCAGACAATTGCCGCACGCCAGTTGGTTGGAGTGCATCGTGAGCCTCAGACTTCTGCACAAGCAATTGAGCCCAGGGCCTCGGTTGGTTGAGCCCTGGGCGATAGTTTGGGAGGCCGACACATCACACATTGGTCCCTGGCCTCAAAAAAGCAGTATTTCGTCGTCGAGGCCGAGGAAACCAATGGGAAACCAGTACAGGGCCTGAATCTGGACAGCGGCCCTAGCATAAGGGGCGCAACTGTATTACCTGGGCCCCACCTGCATTGGGCCTGGGTACAGGTACTGGGCCCCAGGCGCAGGCTCAAGGCAGACCGCCCACACGCAACACTGGCATATAGGCAGAACAGGCGAGTGGGCGAGGATCTTGGCCATTGCGAGCAATGCCGGCACGCTGAAGCACTGCGAGGTGCTGCGCTGCGCTAGGCTGAGGTGAGGCAGGCTGTCGCTAAGCAGTAGACCACAGCCTAGGCGCAGGGCGCTGGCGGCCATAGCCGGGCTGCCTGTGGGCGCAAAGAAGGTGAAGGGCAAAGGTGGTTCTTCGGAAGGTGAAGGGCGCTGTGTAGGATAACAAGGTAGAGTGAGGGTGAAGAGAGAGACGTACTTGGTGGAGAGGAGGTCGGCATTGGTGTTGACGTCATCACTCGCTGGTCGTCAAGTTGTCTGGTTGCTTCCATGTTGTAGTTGTAGTGTTAGGTTGTAGAGTAGATAGGGCGCCTGGCGCCATTCAAGAGAAAGAGCTACATTGGGTTATGCTGTTGGTGTTGCCCGATTGGGCTTGGACATTGACTCACGATTCTGCAGTATCATTCTCAAATGGATGGTTACTTGGTTCCATTGTGTTATCTGCTCTTGCTTTGACTACTTGGACTTCAGTGTGATTTTGCAATTTGGATTTTTGTGCTTCGTCCATATTCATGTTCCTTGCAGTCATCCTGCTGCGACATAAAATAATTCCTGATGACACTTAGGGGTGGTCGTTAAATGGCCTCTTGATCAACCAATCGGTGTAAGGCTCGCTGCACGCGAGGATAAACACAGTGCAGGGCTGGCCAGCTCAGCAGCTACCCAGGGCACAGGGGTGGGCCGTGTGCACACCTTTAGTCACGCACGCTAAACCGGATTGCTCAGGGACGCTGACGTCATGTGACAATCAAGGGGAATTGTGGAAGGGGTAGATTCCAGGTGATAAGTTTGAGTAAGATCCCATGCTGCAAACAGACCCGACAAATGATGATTATTTTTATTTTGATTAGATAGATGTATTGCCATTGACATCTGACAGACAACATAGTTTAGAACTGATTTTGTTCATTGTGCTTTCTGTTTGCGAACTAGTCAAAGTAGAATAGTATCATTTGTAGGAATCTGAATTTACCTGTTGGACCCGAATGTATGGTCTCTGACATAGCCGCCAATTATTTATTTATTTTTATTATAAATCGGACTGAACATGTCACTGCGGTAGGCATCGATCGAGTGTCCTAGTGCAGGTACTGTACAGTGCTGTAGCTTACGAGTGACAGGGAGGATCCGCAACCGGACGACCGACTCTTGCGATCGGCTAGACACCCGATTGCCCATTTGGCGTTAGGACCAGAGGGTGACAGATATTTGTTCCGCAAGCGTAGGGAGAGGCAGCAGCAGCAGAGGAGAGCTAGCGCAGCAGAGGCTAGCAGGGCGTTCGTAAGCGAAGTCGCAGCTTCAGCAGCCATGGCCACTTCTGCGCAGCAAAGTTCTCAGGCTGGTAGTTCAAGATCTGTAGGGTCAACGGTCGCGCAGACCATGAGTCACCCCACTGGCGTAATGGCAAGCCAACCCCTAGTAATGACTCCCGAGGAGGTCGCCATACAACGAGCTGCTGATCGTGAGGCACAGCTACAGCAGGTTTTAGGGGAGATTAAGGCAGAGAAAGAGAGAATGATTAGAAGAAAAGCCAAGATGCAGCGGAGACAAGCGGACGTCGGTGAGTTAGAGGAAATGGACCTTGCAGAGATGGATGATGTGAGAACCATACGGTCGGTCTTGTTGAGAGTAGTAGAAATGCAAGATCACCAAATGGAGATCTTACAAGACATCCAACAGAGTCGGGCTGTGTTAGTCGGGCGAATGCAGGCGGCACCATCACCATCCGGGCCCGGTGCCTAGCCCGTTGTACATCCTCCTCCTTTTGTCCCACCGGTGACTGGGGTATCCCCATACACAGCTCCAGCATCGGTCCAGCCCGTTTCCCTGGGTATGCCTTTGACAGGCAGGTTCTCAGCAGGTCCTAGTTTACAGGTCCCTGTACAGACAGTGTTTACCCAACCTCCGTCACAGGTTGCCGTAAGCACGCAACCTGCAGTCTCGCAGCCTGCGCAGCCGCATGGTTCACAGCCCTAGCAGCTAGTGCAGCCACCTGCATCACAGGGTCCACAGTCCTTAATGATGCAGGGACCGGGACAAAGTCAGTGGGTACCAAAGACGGCCATCGCCGCTCCTAAACCCTTTACAGGGAATAAGAGGGGCGAAGACCTCGACACTTGGTTGAGGGCAGTGTCGGTCTATGTCAAATGTAAACTTACCTTGCCGCACGAGGAAGTGCTTGTGGCTGCCTCCTATCTAGAGGGGAATGCAGCACGATGGTTGAGTGGTTTAGTGCAACTACAGGGGTACGATCATGACTTCCACGCTTGGGCAGCCCACCAGAAATTGGAGGACTTTCTCAAGATGGTGGAAGACAGGTGGCATGATCCTCAGGAGGCTCAAAAAGCCATTGACGCGATCCTGACACTGCACACGAGGCAGTTTAAGTCAATAAGGGAAGCCACTGACGATGTAGAGCGTCTGATCTGTGTGCTATGACCCCCAGGTTTTACTCACCTTCTACCTGAGATGCTTTCCCATGCCTCTCAGGAATCAGTTGGCAGGTGAGGCCAACATCAATATGCACAACTTTCCTTCGTTCAGTAAGAAGGCCCTAGACCTAGAGGCCAAGATAGGGCATGGACATAATCCCACGACGGATGGTAGGAAGAAGTCACTGCCTCCCAACTAGAAGGCTAAGGGCCGCATTATGTTCGTCGACAACGATGGTTCCACCATCGGGTTGGACGACGGGTTCCAGGCGGGAGTTGGTTCAGAGGCAGGCAGCGTAGAAGCTTCTGAAGGTGGAGTAGTCGTTGTCGTAGCTCAGAAAGGAAAGGCGACCGGTCGACGCCGAGGAGGTTCCCGGTCAAGGAGTCAAGTTGACCCCAATGCTCCTCCACGGGAGAAAGCGGACCTAAGTGAGGACGTATGGAGAGATCGGTACACGCGGCAAGCTTGTATCCGTTGTGGCCAATATGGCCATAACCAATTCAAGTGTCGGAACAAGAAGGTGACCGAGAAGATCCCGCCTACGATGGGGCAGGCGTTGGGATCCTCCACTCCCGTTGGTAGCAATGTGGCTAGTACTTTTGGCACTGCTCCGGGAAACACGTCGGGCCAGTAGGAATAGTAGTTGTTCCTGCTAGGGTCGAGGTGGTGGATACACCCTCACCATCTCGAGAGATGGCCCAAGCTACTGACTCCATCGTCGTCCCGCAAACACGTTCAGACCAATCGAGCCTCTGTTCGATGAATGTGTTTGAATCCTTAGGAGCTAGAGGAGGAGTGGTCTAGATCAGACCCGCTAGCTTCTTGGACGGCATTAGCCAAAGCCCCTAAGGGTGAGATGTTCGTCAGCGAGGTGGTCATTGGCGGCCGCAAGGCCGGGGCCTATTATGACACTTGCTCGACTAGGAACTTCATCAGTCGCGCGTGTGTTAAGAGGTTGCGCTTACAGGAGCAAGTGCAGCGCCCGAGTCGACATGTGGAGTTGATCTGTGCCAACAAACAGCGCATGGTAGTTAATGACTACCTCTAGGATGTTGAGTGTTGTTTCCCGTACGTGGGAGGGGAATTGAGACATCGCGTCTCGTTCCTAGTGAGCGATGAACTCCCCATGGGTATGTTGTTAGGTATGTACTACCTCTCTGTGGCACAGCCCCAATTTGACTAGGACCGAAAAGTGGTCAAACACACTTTGCCAGGTGGAGGGACCGCCGGATTACGTAAGTTTAAAGCTAGTAATCTGATTGAGTCCCAAGGATGCATGTGTGCGACCGCATTCTATAATTACTATAAGCAAAATCAAGAGGAGGGTATGTATCTAGTTTACGTCTCTGATGGAGGCGAGCCAGTGAAAATGCCACTGGAGATAGAGGGACTGGTTGCTAAATACCCTAATCTATTTGAAGAGCCGACAAGGGTTGTTGAGAGGGAGGTCGTCCACGCGATAGAGATTATCCCAGGGTCTAGCATCCCAAAAGGTAGGATCTATCGGATGTCTCCAGGCGAGCTTGACGAGCTTCGTCGGCAACTCAAGGAACTCGTAGAAAAGGGTTGGATCCGGCCGAGTGTTTCTCCTTATGGTTCACCAGTCCTATTCGTACCAAAGGAAAAGGAAGGAACACTTAAGATGTGCATTGACTATAGGGCCCTCAATGCCATCACTGACAAGAACCGAGAGCCCCTACCTCGCATCGATGACTTGCTAAACAGAGTGCACGGGTGACGGTACTTCAGTAAGATAGATCTGAAGTCCGGGTACCATCAAATTGCAATCCGGCCCGAGGATCAACACAAAACCTCATGTCAAACCAGGTACGGTCTGTACGAGTTTGTGGTGATGTCTTTTGGCCTGCGCAATGCTCCCGGCACCTTTCTTTTTTTTTATATAAGGATTGTGGAGGTGTCGGGGATTCAACTCTACGGGGGAACCGGCGGGAGGCTCAACACGCTATGAATCGGATATTTCATGACTACTTGGATAAGTTTGTCATCGTATACCTCGATGACATACTTACTTTTAGTAAGACTGTCGAGGAGCACGTTGCGCATTTGGACAAAGTCCTTAGCCTTTTTCGACAGCACAAGTTCAAGATCAACGGTGAGAAGTGCGAGTTTGGCCGCACCCGTGTCTTGTACTTGGGTCATGAGATTTCGCGCAGGGATTGAAGCCCGATGACGCGAAGGTGGCCAGCATTCGTAACTGGCCGCGTCCTCAGTCTGTGACTGAGACGAGGTCTTTCTTAGGGATGACCGGCTACGATCGCAACTTCGCAAAGAACTATAGCATAGTTGTCGCCCTTTTGACTGACCTGACTCGCCTCGATACCCCATGGGATTGGACAGACAGATGCGAAGCTGCCTTCAGACATCTGAAACATGTGTTGACGCATCATGAGGTCTTCAAACTTCCTGATCCTGACAAGCCATTTATAGTAACTACGGATGCTAGCCAGTTTGGCATAGGCGCCGTACTTGCACAACAGGAGGGGAAGAAGTTGAGGCCAGTGGAATACATGTCCAAGAAAATGTTGTCTCAGAAGTTGGCCAAGTCCACCTATGAGAAGGAACTCTATGCGGTGTACAAGGCTCTGACTCATTGGAGGCAATATCTCCTTGGGAGGTTCTTCATCCTCAGGAGTGATCATCAGACCCTGAGATGGATGAGAACTCAGTTGGTGCTCTCTGACGCTCTGAAGCGTTGGATCGAAGTTATTGAGCAGTATGACTTTGACCCGCAGTATCTGAAAGGGGAGTACAACAAGGTTGTTGATGCCTTGTCGCGTAGACCTGATTTCTCATGTGCGCTGATTACTGAGTTCGATCTTACGGACGATGTTACTCGCTGCCGACAAGAAGACTTCTGTCGAGTTTGAGTTGGTCAACGGCTTGTTGTTCCTTGAGAAGGAGGGGAGTAAACGTTTGTGTGTCCCAAATAGAGAGTCTTTGCGTAGTTCGTTTTTAGGTGAGTGACATGATGCCACGGGCCATTTTGGGTATAAGAAGACAACGGTCAATCTGTTGCAACGGTTCTGGTGGCCCACGATGATGCGAGATGCCCAACTGGACAAGGTCTGTCCGAGGGACAAGCCACGTACTTAGGCTCCTCTTGGGCTCCTGAAGCCCCTTCCGATTCCGGAAAGACCTGGTGAGAGTTTGTCCATGGACTTCATGGATACGCTGGTCACCAGCAAGAGTGGGATGAGACATATCTTCGTCATCGTGGATAGATTTAGTAAGTATGCTAGGTTGATAGCCATGCCGGAGACTGCAAAGACCGAGTAGGTGATCAAACTTTTCAAGGAGAACGAGGTCCGGGATTTCGGTCTGCCCAAGTCCATTGTGAGTGACAAGGATGTACGATTCACCAGTGAGCTATGGAAGGCCGCTGCTGCCGAACAGGGAACACAGTTGCAGATGACCTTTCGGAATCACCCAGAGGCCAATGGCCAAGCCGAGCAACTGAACCGCGTTGTACAACACCTGCTGCGGCATTACATCAAGCCCAATCAGGTGGACTGGGATGAGAAGCTTGCTCTCATCGCCAACCTGTACAATAACGTTGTACACAGCACCACCGGGGTGAGCCCAAACAGCTTACTACTAACCTTGAAGCCTAGACTGCCCTTAGATTTCCTCCTTCCTGAGAACCAGCCAACTGCTGCACCGGGTACCCTAGAGTTCACTTATCGTTACGAACAAATGATGCAGCAGGCAGTAGAGCACATGCAAAAGCCACAGGCGGCAATGATAGAATCAAAAAACAGACACCACCGCCCATCTACATTCCAGGTTGGGGACAGAGTCTAGGCTAAGTCCTCAGAACTGGGACAGGAGCACGGGATTTCCCGCAAGCTCATGCCTCAGTACTTTGGGCCATGGGAGGTCTTAGACATTGTCGGGACTGATCCGGACGGGCCATCTTATGTAATCCGGATCCCTGGTCATCTCTGCACTTATGATGTCTTTCACGCCTCCAAACTTGCACCTTTCAAGGAAACAGACCAGTTTTCTTCTCATCGCTCAATGCTGCCCCCAACCATGGACGGATAAGTGGATATCGATGACATCGTGGACCACAGGGAGCTGCCAGTTCCAAGACCAACAGGTAGGGGACGTCCTCTGAAACCAAGGCTGCAGTACCGTGTTCGGTTCCAGCATCATACTGATCCAAAGGACCGCTGGTTCACCAGGGAGGAACTCATGCAGGCCGCCCCTCAAGTCGTAGCTCAATACGAAAAAGCTCTGCAGAAGGGAAAGTGCCAGATCATTGAAGATTGAACTTCTCAGAGGACTATCGAAGATATGGAGGAGGGAATGCGAGGCTAAAGCCCCAATGTACCCCTTTCAGGCCCTGCCAAGCAGCACGTCTGCCGCCCTAAGTGAAGGCAGGCTCAACGAGGGCCTGAGGGCCCCTAATTTTGGCCACCATGCAACTGAGGAAATTCAGGCAATTGCGCCGCGCCAGTTGGTTAAAAGAACCCAGGCCCTGGGCCACTTGTTTGCATGCATTGAAGGCAGGCCCTGGGTTGGGTACGGGATGTGGGCCAAACACAGGCCGAAGGAAGTTGGGCGCAAGCAACCACCTCAGGCCCTGGGCCTGATTTGTTTGGACTGGGCCTCAGCCTACCGGGGCCTACCGAAAGCTTCTTGGGAAAGGCCCAGCGCAGCCTGGGACAGAATGAAGGCAGGCCACTTCCATATAGCAAAGGGCCTGCCTCCACATTGGACATTCGGGTGCTGGCTGCATGCTGCGCAAGCACTGCTGCGCTGAAGCTGGCCAGCGCTCACGTACTCACGGGCGAGTTGGAAGGAGCAGGCATCCATAGTCGAGCTGCGCTGCTGTGAGCTGGGTGTGGCGCAGGGTGGTCTTTGGGTGCAAGTGGCATCTGTGAGTTGGGGAACGAGGTTGTGGGTGATACGAGAGACATACCTGGTGCTAGAAGCGACGGCATTGTCCGAGATTTGCTCGTACTTTGGTGAAGTTGTTGACGTCATACGGCGGCATTGTAGAAGTAGGCTAGATAGGATCTGCCAACTATAGTCTGGGCGCCGAGCGCCAGATAGGATATCAACATTGGTTCTTCATTGATGATGATGACGAGACTATTCCAGCATTGTCAATTATGAGCTCTTGGTATGTTCTTATTTCGTGAAACTCATGATGCAATTCTGTTGTTGGTTTGAGGTCACGACTATCTGGCCTTATGTGTATAATGCTGTTTGATTTCTAAAGTTCATTATCGCTCATCTTCCTTGCACAAGTTTCTTGGGTTTCCACAGTCATTACTCCTGCTCTGTGGGCAGGCAACAACAAGGGTTGATCCAAGGGAAGGGTGTTTAGCTGTTGCAAAATTTGCTCTGCAACAGCTTGCCCTGGTGTTGATAACCTTTGAGTACAGCGCACTGTAGATAACTCATGTGGTAGTGCAATGACTTGCTGGTTACTGGTCATCTGTAGCCTCTCTCTTGTCGAGGCTGTACCATCTGTAGGTTAGATTCGTAATTTTGTTTGGCTGAGGGCTAACCGAGAGACCTGCTTGTAAGGAAATTCGTTAGGGACATATCTGTAAATTTGGGAATAATATAGGCCACGCTATCTAGAATTCCTACACCTACCCTGACTGGGAATAGCAGGCCCGGGCTACCCCTAGGACAGACAGGCCCTAAGGGCCTAACCTGATAGACGGTCCTATAGCCTATAGCCAGGTTGGGAGAGGCCCTAGAGGCCGACACAGAAACGGTACCGGTCGGTCAGTCAGTCCGGTCTAGGTCAAGTCTAGGCTAGAGTAGACTATAGATAGGATGGGCACAAGGGTTCATGGTTTTTTGGCGGTTGGTACCGAGGACATCGTTGTTGCGCTACGCATGAACCGGAAGTGGTGACGGCTCAGCGTTAAGGAAGACAGACATAGCCAGACCTTAGGAGCGTCGGCAGTAGCTGGGACCTGCGTTGTACTCTGTCAGCACGCGGGGCTGTACAAAGGTATGGGCTATTCGAGGTCTGTTGGAGGCGAGAGAAGTTGGTGCCATGTTGGACCCCTCTCCGGAGTAGGGTTACATGGTTGTGGCGCTGCAGCCATAGCTGCAACTTCTTCCTTAGAGATCATCTCGTCAGGAGTGGTGGCGTTGTTGCAGACTTCCACTCGGGAAGTCTTTCAACACTTCGTCATCATCAGATACTGTGGTGTTGGTTTTCTTCTTCATCCTCTGAGTGGCGCTTCGCCTCAGAGGTTTGTTTCAGGGTGGCGCTTCCCTCTGGAGGCTGTATCTGGGTGGTGCTTGATGTTTCAGGGACTCAAGGGTGGTGATAGCGGTTCACCAGGGTTGGGGAGTGAAGCGCTGCTCATTTATGAGCAGCGCACCATATTACTGGGGTTATTCCGACAATACGAGACTCTGAGTTTAATAAACAGTGTTGATACTATGTCCATACTATCATCGTTTCATTGTTTCTTGGATGTGATCTACTCGGCTTTCCTTCATGACTGGTTGTGAGGATTGAGTGGAGTGAATTGCACTTTCAGTGTGCCCTGTCATATCGCGTGGTCAAGCCTTCCGCTGTGTTTATCTCTCCCTGTGCGGTGTGATACTCCTATCCTCTCCCCTTTCGTCTGTGTATGTATGGGCATACATGGGAGTCTATGCGAGTGAGTGTTGGTCTTCAGACAACAGACAACCAGAATCATAACAGTTGGTATCAGAGCGATTGGATCCAGACTCTGGAGCAATTGATGAGTTGGAGCAACTATTCACTATCTGGCGAGACACTGGAGTTGACATTCATGGCGATTTATCATCTTCAGGGTTTGCGACAGTGAGGGTGGTGGTAGTGAGTGTGTGGGAAGAAGAATTGGACAGAGGGTGACTCATCCCTGCGTAGGTTTGTGCAGGAATGGTTGGCGATTAATGGTCAGAGGCCTGTGAGGCTATTTCTAGCCTGGCGATCCATCTGGAAGCTGGCGATTGGCAAGAAGTGATCCCAGGAGGTTGCGATTTTGGAATTGGGTCAGGATCCCCAAATTCCAAGCAGCGTTGTATAGGGTGAAGTGGCGCTGCACTAAGTTACTCCGTTATCAGTATCTGGGAGTCTGAATTCTTGGTTTCAGTCAGTTGAGGGTGAAGCGCCTCAGGGTATTCTTCTGGATCACCAAGTTTCAGGAGGTTTGGTACATGGGAAAACTGGGAATGATCAGGGTATGAAACTGGCGAGATGGGGTTGACCAAACAGCCATAGCCAGAGTTTTATTCATCTTCTTCAGAGATAACCCTGAAGTAAGTGTGTTCCTTACTCTACTTTGTGTGGCGATTCTGGCACTATTTTTAGGATAGCGAAATATGGTCTGCCAATCAGTTGACAATTGAAAATCGAAATTCGGACTGTGGGACAACCATAGCCAATTTTCCCTACCTATCTTCTTTGACTTCTACTAACCCTGTTTGACCTCCTCTCTGACTCAAATTTCATATGTGACTGCTTTACAGTATTGCGATTCATACTGTGTAGTGAATTGGTGAGTTCAGGGTCCTTATGTCAGTGATAATGCAGATTTGAATTTTGCGCTACCATAGTTGAAGCTTGGTTAGACTAGGGTCAGTCAGAACTTCAATTACGTCCGTCAATTTTCAATTATACCAATCCCTGGTAAATTGCAATTCAAACTACAGTCATTGTCTGAAATTGCATCATCAGATTTGATGTTTTGAGTCAGTTACAGTGAAAACTGTAATTCGCCGTACCCAGGGTATGGCATGCAGGGTCATACAATGGTGAAGTCTGCAGGGTAGGTCTAAAAATAGGATTACCTGTAAATCGTTGCATCTTGGATATCAGTGGACACCTGTCTATCCCTAATTAGTCACTCCGTCTAATTACTAATCAACACTAGTCAGTCCAAGACTGCATCCTGTAAATTATTGATACAGGATTAGC